AAGCGTGGCAACTATGGCAAATATCCCCGCATGAGTAACGACATAAATAAATGGCCCCCAGTCCCCTGCGGCCCCGCTATTCCTGGCTACGGTGGTGACCATGGTAACGGCGGGGCAGGGGGTGCTAAAAATCTCCGGTGGAGGTTCGGTTGCCACCTACGACGACTCGACCTGGCAATATATAACGCACGCACCCTGAGGACTGACGAGAAGATACTGGAGTTGGAAGAAGAGGTAGACAAGTTGCGCTGGCATATTATTGAGTTATCCGAGGTCCGCGGAGACGGGGAGGACACGGTAATCCTCGAGTCCGGCAACTTGTTCTATCACCGGAAGGGCGACCATCCGTCCCAAGGAGGTGTCGGATTTATCGTCCACAAATCTCTCGTCAACAACGTTGTCAAGGTTAGGAGTGTGTCGACGAGGGTCGCGTACCTGATACTCAGAATCACCAAACGGTATTCGCTGAATGTCATACAGGTTTACGCACCAACTTCGGCATCCCGATGAGGAGGTGGAGGAAATGTATGAGGATATTTCTAGAGCCATGCATTCCTCCAAAACCTACAACACTACACGGTGTTGACGGGAGACTTCAACGCAAAACTAGGCACAAGAGAAAGCGGTGAGCTGAAGTTAAGGAAATTTGGAGTAGGATAACGGAACCTTAGGGGCCAGCAGCTGGCCGACTTTATGGAGAAAGAGGGACTCTTTATGATGAACTCTTTCTTCTAGAAGCGGCCGCCCCACAGGAAGCGGACCTAGTCGAGCCCCCACGGTTCGACAAAAAATGAGATTGACTTCATTATGACGACCAGACGCCAACTGTTCAGTGATGTCTGAATGATCGCAAGGGTGAAAACTCTCCGATCACACTCTTAATCTCATGGCTGTTAGACGGGAGATGAGGCTGCAATCGTCAACAGATTTGACAGCATACAGGAAAATGAACAGACAGATCTCCAAATGCATGCGGCGAGACTTGCGCAACTTCAATACTGCTCGTATTAAAGAAGCGATCGAGCGGAACCGGGGCTCCAAAGTCTTTGCCAGAGATCTGTCTGCCATTAAGAGCCAACTGTCAAAGCTGAAGACTGAGTGAGATTGAGAGGTTCTATGGGCAGCTGACACTGGACACATCATCGTTGAAGCCACACGCAAGTGACTCACACTTGCGTGTGGCTTCAACGATGATGTGTCGCGGAAGTCAGTCTGAGCGAGATTAGAATGGCTCTCCAGCACCTTCAAAACGGCAAGGCCCCAGGCGAGGATGAAATTACAGCGGAGCTTCTGAAAGCGGGTGGAAAACCGGTACTTGAAGTCCTTCAAAGGCTCTTTAATTCCGTCCACCATGGTGGCACTACTCCGGAGGCGTGGAGTAGAAGTGCGGTGGTCTTGTTCTTCAAGAAAGGTGACAACGCCCTCTTAAAGAACTACAGACCGATTTCCCTTCTGAGCCGCGTCTACGTGCTGTTTTCGAGAGTCATTACGAATCGTCTCGCACGCAGACTCGACGACTTCCAGCCTCCCGAACAAGCCAGTTTCCGAAAAGGCTTTAGTACCATAGACCCCATACCCTTCGGCAAATTGTACCGAAGTCCGAAAAGTACAATCTGCCACTTTGCCTGGCGTATGTGGACTATGAGAAAGCCTTTGATTCTGTCGAAATTTGGGCGGTGATACAGTCTCTTCAGCGGTGCCAAGTTGACTGTCGGTATATCGAAGTGCTTTAGTGTTTGTACAGTAGGGCTACGATGGCTGTTCGAGTACAGAACCAGAGTACGAAACCTATCCAACTGCAGAGAGGTGTAAGACAGGGTGACGTTATTTCCCCGAAACTCTTCACCGCTGCAAGACGTTTTCAAGCTACTGGACTGGATACGGTATTAACATCAATGGCGAGTACATCACTCATCTTCGATTTGCCGACGATATAGTCCTTATGGCAGAATCACTGGAGGACTTAAGCATTATGCTCAATGACCTCAATAGTGCCTTCCAACGGATAGGTCTTAAGATGAACATGGACAAAACAAAGATCACGTTTAATGTCCATGTCACACCTATGCCGGTAGTTGTTGGGAGCACTATGCTCGAAGTTGTTGACGAGTACGTTTACCTGAGACAAATAGTCCGACTAGGTAAGTCCAACTTCGACCGAGAGGTTAATCGACGGATTCAACTCGGCTGGGCGTTCGGGAAATTACGTCACATCTCGTCAGGTATACCTCAAAACCTGAAAACTAAGTTGTACAACCAGTGCGTGTTGCCAGTGATGACATATGGAACTGAGACGTGGTCCTTCACTGCTGGCCGTATGATAACGCTCAAAGTCGCTCAGCGAGCTATGGAGATGGCTATGCTCGGAGTTTCTCTGCGTGATAAACTTAGAAATGAGGATATCCACAGTAGAACCAGAGTGATCGATCAGTAAGCTGAAGTGGCAATGGGTCGGCCATATAGCTCGAAGAAACGATAACCGTTGGGTAAAAAAGGTTCTCGAGTGGCAGTCTCGTACCGGTAGACGAAGTGTAGGGCGACTAGATGGAGTGACGACCTGGTAAGACATGCAGGAAGTCGATGGATGCAGGTGGCTCAGGACCGTGCTTTGTGGCATTACTTGGGGGAGGCCTATGTTCAGCTGTAATGATGATGATGATGATTGCGATCACGCTCAAAGGGACCTCAGTCACTTGGCACGCAAGGTGCTGACGAAAAGTTTGGAAATTTGTCGTTTAATATCCCTTTATAAGTATAAATGCTTATTAGAAACCTAATAACACTAATTACACAAATAAAGACGTGAGAAACGATGCTTGGCGACACGTTAGTTGTGAAACGAATTACCCAGTTGAGACGTTAAAAAAAATTAGATTTTAGAAGAATATGCTGCCACGTCAGTTTATAGCCCTTACTGCACGTTCGACTCCGTAGTGAAAGTTCAACTGACTGACTCAGGATAGAATTTTATTATTATTTTTAAGATCTTATAACGCCGTTGAATTTTGAAAATATTTCTTGAAAACATCATATCTTTAGATAGAATTAACTGATTTTCATAAAACAAAGATTAAATGTAACGCGAAGACACACGTTATTAACGATTTCTTTAAAAAAAATGTACTTGATACGTAATGAGTCCATATAAAAACAGACTAACCAACAGACTGTTCTTAAAATGATAAAAATGTACTTACTTATTTTCAGTTCCCTTAATGATTTTTTTTCACAAATATAATACAAATATAATGTGTATATACACACAGATAATCACCATTTTTATTAAAGATATAAATTTAAAGAGAGTTGGCGCTATTAAAATCAATTCTAAAAATAGAAGAAAAAACTCAAGACATTTCACACACCGTATAAAACATACCAAAACTTTTAAATCAGTGCAAGCAAAAAAAATAGCGAAGAAGAAAGTTGGAACCCAGCACAGACCAACGTAATTGTAATTTTTTTATAGGATAGGGTGACAAACGAGCACACAGTCCACCTGATGGTAAGTGGTTGCTGCGGCCCATAGACATCCACATCAAACCTCGCTTGCAAATCAAAATGCAGATGCGTTGTCACCCGTGAGGACTAAGATGGAATGCCTCGTTTCCAGTAAAATGGGTCTTCGGTTCTCTACACTCACCATACGAAACACAGCAGCATTAAGCTACTATTTCACGCTGGTATTCTGTGAGAGCGTGGTCCCTCTCCGGTCGAGCCGACCCATTCGTGCTACAACTATACTACTAATATAACTGCAGCATGGCTCTATCACGTACAATTAATAATTTTATACCACATTGGTTACTCAACGGTAAAGAAAAACAAAATTTAACATAAAACTGCGTCTGTCGATACGCAGTAGAGCAGCAAATAATATGAAAATCAGCAAAAAATATCAAGACACATCTACAGGACAAAAAAAAAAACACAACCTGCCTTTATAGATATCCTTTGCTCAACACCACCATCAATCAATGACATTGGTTAACTATTGTACTTTAGATACCAAGATTAATTACATTTTTTTATTTATATTTATTAGGTTATTCTTTCTTATTTTTGTTTACTGCGTCACAAATATTATTATATGGTTATAAAAATATTATCTTACATCATTTAATCATGATTTATGATATGAGACTAAAATGCATTTTATGACTCAACGCCGCCATTGAACGAATTCGTACCCATACTTCACAATATGAATCATAACTTCTGATAGAATGAACCGATTTTAATAAAACAAATACAAAATTTAACACAAATTCTTTATAATTTCCGATAATTTTGATAGAAATTAGTACTTTATATGTGATAAGTTAAGAAACAAACAAACGGACAGACAATTCTAAAAATGGTAAAAATGTATTTATTTACTTATTTTTAGCCCCCCCCCCCCATATCAATTTTACTACAAACATATAAAATTTAAGACATCTGCAACTTACATTTTCATTACATGTATATATGTACAGACTATCTTTGTTGTTTGTGATGTATTTTAACTAATTTTTCCACACCAATTGCTAATATTACTTATTATTAACCTTCTCTGCAAATTTGACAGGTTATTGCAAAATAACCCTGTATAAAAACATATTCTCTGCATGATGGACTTAAAAATGATTATATCTGCAGTGAAACCATAGTAACCAACATACCCCAACGGATTAGTAAACTGAAGTGAAATGGCACTGGGCCAGCCATATAGCTCAAAGATCCAGCAACCGATGGGTGAGATTGGTTCTGGAATGGCAGCTTCGTACTAGTAAGCCAAGTGTAAGGTGGCTCCCCACTAGATGTAGTGACGAACTAGTAAGATATGCAGGAAGTCAATAAATGCAGGTGGCTCAGGACCGTGCTTTGTGGCATTGCTTGCGGAAGTCCTATGTTCAGCAATCGACTTGTGAAGAAGTGTAATGATGATGATGAAAAAAGAACAGCAAGGGGGAACCAGGGGAGTCCATGCAAAGAAGGGCCTGGTGACACACAAATACCTTGATAATATCCGTGGCGACCAAATAGCTGAGACGGTTGAACCAGTCAGCGTAGGCTTCCAGGTTGCGGGTGGTTTTCGTATCAGCGTGGCGCAAGCTGATGGCGGAACTTCCAGAACTGGTACCAGCTGGAGCAAACGCCTGCACGAACTCCTCGGGCCCCACAAACGACAGCCGGTGCAACTCCACCGCCGTCAGCTGACTGGCCAGTTCCACTGGTGTCAGACCCAGGGTCAGGATGTCGCCCTGCAATTCAATGTGTTTTGCTTATTGTCTCATGACGGTCAATAATTTTACGCTAACCTGATGTCGTTAGTTGATGAGGGTGAGCTTGCAGTTACTTGTTACATAAGGTCATTTTAACTGCAAAATTGCGTTTTAAATAAAACTTTATCGGTTTTTAGAGTGTGTAACTTACACAAAACAATGCCTCAGTGGTTTAATAATAAATTTTTGCATCCTTATTAAGAGGATTGTGAAGCTGTACATTTTCATACAAAAAGCTATAATGTTTTCTCCCCATAAGCATAGTCTCAAATTCATGTTTTTGAAATTGTTGTAGAAACAATGAAAAACTGGCTCCGTACGTTTTTATTTTAAAGAAATATTGCGTACGATATAAGTAATTAGCGTCTAAATATTTATATTTTTGACTTAAAAACTTCCTCGAGCGTTTTTAAAAAAAATTATCCGAACTGAATTACTAAAAAAGAAAACCGTACAGACCTAAGGTAAGGTGCACTAAATCTAATGAGATTAAAATGTCTCATTTCGTAAATGTTTAGGTGAGGTTTTGTAAAGGTTTTTTTTGCCTCCAAGACTTGCAACTCTCTCCATCACGCCCGAAGCAAGGCAGAGCGAGCGGTATGAAACAGATAGCATTTTTGAAAATACCTACTCGCGCCGCGGCATTCACAATCCTCTAAGTATTTTATTTTTTTGCTTTCCTACTTTTAGTTATAACTGTAGTTTGATTAACCAAACTAATCAAATTAAGATAAAATATAACTATTATTTCAGAAACATTAAATTTTTGAACAAATTAACATCGCCCGCCATTAAAGCTGTCAAATAATTCACCTCATTTCTAAGAAATGTTTTTAAGCCACAAAAACATAAAGTTATTCAGATTCGAAAAATAATCAGGGGTCACGGCAGTGCCCCCGCCAAGTCCAGCAAAAAAGCGGCACGGCCGTAACATACTTTTCCCAAAGCAGTTCAGGCCATTTTGCACCCCCCCTATAACTTCATTCTGGATAAAACTAGAAACCTTTCAGTCACCAAGCAGGTGGTATATTTCAAATTTCATTCAATTTGAACCAGTAGTTTAAGAATTATATCTATTCTAAGTTTCTGTCACTCACTGACTGACCGATCATCAAAAATCTAAGGCACTTCTAGCAAACATAGAAGCTTTAAATTTAAAATACAGTTATTGCTTAGTGTATAAATCAAGGAAAAACTAAAATATTTTTCAATTTCGGTCCAGTTTTCTAGATACACCAACTGTATTAATAACTTTGTAATCCCATAGGAATATATAGGATTACAAAGTTACATTTGCAGTGAATTGAAGTGTCAGTGTACCTGTATATGTATAATAGGTGTGGATAGGTACGTTATTAGTATTCAAGAAGTAGATGGTACCGGAAAAGAAAAAATGTAAGATTATCTAAAAAAAGAAATGAGATGCCATTAAAAACATAACTTGTAAAAAAAACCCAAGTCTCGCAACTTAGTTCTCCTACCGTAAAAAGTAGTGAGATCCATGTCAATCTATTTATTTAAAACATGAAAGATTTTTAATATTGATACGGCCACGATAAGATGTTGCTATGTTAGCTAATTACGTAGTAACTTAAGACAGAAGGACCCTTAAGTAGGGACTAAATAAATTAACCGACTTGGTATTACGTAGATCTCACTACTTTTTACGGTAGAAGAACTGAGTTGCGAGACTTGGGTTTTTTACAAGTTATGTTATTGATGGCATTGCGTTTTTCTTTTGGCAGAATCCCTATTTTATCATGTTATGTATTATACATATATACATTTTAAAGGAAATTGAAAGATTGAAGTAGATCTTGGGATTACTTGTTATTTTTCAGAAGTATTTCATACTTGATAGTAATTAGAAAAAAGCCTCTGGTTCATTATTTGGCCAATTTGTGGGTTGAATAATTTTTGGACAAATTGGTCCACTTGTCGTTATGTATTATGGATTATCTTCACATTGCTAGTATCTTCCTCAGATCCATATACATTATTACCGTTATGTATTCACAAATTGTGTAGTGTATGAAGCAAATCATGGAATGTAATATTCGAATTGACAAAGTGATGAATTTTTTGATACATTTACACTAATTTATATAAGGAAAAGTAACATTAAGTGACATTAAGGCTAAAAGGTAATGGAGCCGTAGATTAATAAATAGACCTCGTTATTTAAAACAATCTTACTAATCCTGACTTACTAATCCAACAGATCAGTAAGCTGAAGTGGCAATGGGCCGGCCATATAGCTCGAAGAACCGACAACCGTTGGGGAAAAAAGGTTCTCGAGTGGCAGCCTCGTACTGGTAGGCGTAGTGTAGGGCGACCCCCCACTAGATGGAGTGACGACCTGGTAAGACATGCAGGAAGTCGATGGATGCAGGTGGCTCAGGACTGTGCTTTGTGGCATTCCTCGAGGGAGCCCTATGTTCAGCAGTGGACTTGTGAAGCGCTGTAATGATGATGATGATGATTTAAAATAAAAACATAGGTTCTTAAAACTGTGAAGGTGATTAAGCTGTTCTTCTTTTTCAAAGGGTAAGCTATAATAATGATAATAAATGCTTCTCAAATGCAGAAGGTGGTGCTCGTCAACAATTTCTTTCCCTTTCCAACTAATCCTCGGCAGATTGGTTTTCCCTGCTGAGTGCTTCCATGTGCTTGGGTTTTTATTTATGTATCTATTTTTTATTCATATATATTACTATATTTAATGTATATTTTCTTTTATATATTTATTCAGTCCAACTAGATGAGAAGAGGCTACACATATCAAATACTAAATGTTATATTTCATCAATAATGTTTTACAAATAAATGTGGTCACTGACTGCTAATGTAGGTCAATCTGTATTTTAGGAGCCAGTGTCTTACTTCAAAAGAAATGTACAAACGAAGTAGATTTGGCAAAAATAAAATTTTTATTATGTACGTGTGCATGCGTGCGTGCGTGCGTGCGTGCGTGCGTGCGTGCGTGCGTGTGTGTGTGTGTGTGTGTGTGTGTGTGTTGTGTTTGAGGACAAAAGAAGTTGAACGAGTATTTTTTTAATTGAATTGAATATAATTTTGCTGAAATCAAATTTTTGGAATGTGATTATAAGTCAAGGGGCTGGGGGTAAGTACTTGCGGCAGCTGATCGACGGAGCACATCTGCGGTACTTGCACCAGCGTCTCCTCGTACTGCTCCAACGCCGTCAGCCGGTCCAGTAGTCGCTCCAGCATGCTGGACACCTCCGCCCTCACGGACGCCATGTGCTCCGCTGCACACCTGCAACACATCATGCGCTGCTGCAGTTTGTTTTATAGAACAATGGTGATAAATGAGCATACAGTCCACCTAACGGTATGTGTATGCAGTGGCCAATAAACAATAGACATCTATCCTAGATTAGGAATCAATTTACCAGCCTACAAAGTCAATCACCGGACACAGTAGGGAAGATATTCCATTACTGCTAAGTTCGGCAGACAAGAATGACGATTCTAATACCTGACACTGCATCCTACTATCATCATCATTACAGCCCTTCACAAGTCCACTGCTGAACATAGGCCTCCCCCAAGTAACGCCACAAAGTACGGTCCTGAGCCACCTGCATCCATCGACTTTCTGCATGTCTTACCAGGTCGTCACTCCATCTAGTGGGGGGTCGCCCTACACTACGCCTACCGGTACGAGGCTGCCATTCGAGAACCTTTCTTCCCCATCGGTTATCGGTTCTTCGAGCTATATGGCCGGCCCATTGCCATTTCAGCTTACTAATCCGTTGGGCTATGTCGGTCACTCTGGTTTTACTGCGGATATCCTCATTTCTGAGTCTATCACGCAGAGAAACTCCGAGCATAGCCCTCTCCATAGCTCGCTGAGCGACCTTGAGCGTCCTCATACGGCCAGCAGTGAAGGACCACGTCTCAGATCCGTAAGTCATCACTGGCAACACGCACTGTTTGTACAATCTAGTTTTCAGAGATGAGTTATACCTTGCTTTAAGAATATCCACTACGCTATATCTTCCCGTGGGTATCGTAAAAGACGACGGAGGGAAACAGGCAGGAGATGGGCAGCAGCATCTTCCTGATAACAGCAATTATACAATAAACAACTGCGGTTGCCAACCCGCTCGCCAAGCGTGGCAACTATGGCAATATACCCCCCCCCATGAACAATTACACTAATAGACGGCCCCCAGTCCCCGGCGGCCCCGCTATTCCTGGCTACGGTGGCGACCATGGTAACGGCGGGGCAGGGGGTGCTAAGAATCTCCGGTGGAGGTTCGGTTGCCACCTACGACGACTCGACCTGGCAACATTTAACGCACGCATCACACTAGGATCGAGGGTATTTTGTGTCTAGCATAATATACAGGATTGTTCATATGTATGAGACTATCAGCTCCCCCAGATATTGAAAAAAAAATTGAAAAATCTTTATTGCAACAATATGGAATAACGACAAGCTAGATAGATATAACCAAATACGGTGAAAATAGAAATTTAATGACCTTCGAATAATCTGTATCTTTTATTAAATTATATTTTTGTTCCCTTTATAGGATAGGTATCGTAGAAAATTTTCAATAAAGTTTTTAGATTCAATTTTCTAGTTACATATCATTACGATGTACTGTTCACCTCACGCTCAATCACCCAAAAAGGGTTGGGTAGACCCATTTTGTGTTAAAAGTAAAAATCTTCCGATTTCGCTCTTGCCTGGTGTTGGCTTACCAATACTGTACTATTGGTACTTTTTTTAGATAAGATATATTTTTATTTAAATAAACCATGTTTGCAGTTTTCCCGAAGATCCAAACATAAAAACTATGGATAGAAGCCACGAAAGGCTTAATTCATATTTTTGTCAGACTGATTTCTTATTCATACATCACGAAAGATGTTTGAAGGACAATGCAATTCCATGAAAAACCATATCAGCATCAGTAAGCGTGTGTCCTGTGAAAGGGGGGCGGGAAGGAGGTCATCTAGCTCTGTACGAGGCTGCCAAGTGAGAAATTTTCTTCTACATCGTTAGTCGGTTCTTCAAGCTTTATAGCCGGCCCATTGCTACATCAATCTTTTATTATGCTAAGAAATTCCATAAGCTAATAGAACGAGCCCACTCTACCGCTTGCAATGGGTGGTAGGTGGTATTTTTTTTAAATAGAATAAGGATGACAAGCGAGCACATAGCCCCCCCCACCCACACGCACGCACGCATACGCACATGCACACGTCACGCACACATAATATTTTTTTTATTTTTTACAAATCTGGTAAGTGGATGATGTGGTCAATAGACATCTGTCTATCCTCAATTAAGAATCAGAGGGCAATGTGTTGTCACCCCTGAGGACTAAGATGCAATGCCTCATGTTCAGTAAAAAAGGTCTCCGGTTCTCGACACTCACCATACAAAACACAGCAATATTAAGCTGCTATTCCATGAGAGTGTGATCCTTCCCCGGTCGAGCCGATCCATTCGTGCTACAACTATAATATAGCTGGTGCATGTTTCTACCACGTATATTTATTTATTGAAATGGATACACCATCGACAATATCAGTAAACATTGTTACAATGAAAATACTACATTTTTAGATAAAGGATATGTCTTTACAGGCGTATACATCAATATAAGAGAAAAAATACCTAAACAACATATAAACTCTAAATCAAAAAGGAATTAAACTAACCAATCAAAGTAAAAGTACGACATCCAGTAATAATTACAATAAATAATAATTTTGAATCATTAATCTGGCAAGGCAGGTAGCAATAAGTCTTTACACTTTCTTTTAAATGTAAGTTAATTAATGTAAAATTGTCGAATAAAACATTCAATGAAAGTGTCGTGTTGATTGTGTGTGAGGTCACCTCTGCGTGATGCTCCGCACTAGCGCCATCACGCGGTCGTCGCGGAAGTCGTACGGGAACATGCCGGTCCACTGCTTCAGCACGCGCACCAGGGACACCATGTCTGCCAGCTCCTTCTCCAGCGGCTCCTTGCAGTCCCCTTTGCCCTGTTCAGTGTTACATGAATAGAATAGAATAGAACATAGGCATATAGCATAGACATAGAACATTTATACGTGGTAGAGCCATGCTGCAGTTATATTAGTAGTATAGCTGTAGCACGAATGGGTCGGCTCGACCGGGGAAAAACCACGCTCTTACAGAATACCAGCCTCAAATAGTAGCTTAATGTTGCTGAGTTTCGTATCGTGAGTGTAGAGAACCGGAGACCCTTTTTACTGGAAACGAGGCATTCCATCTTAGTCCTCACGGGTGACAACATCTGCATTTTGATTTGTAATCGAGGATAGATGTAGATGTCTATGGGCCACAGCAACCACTTACCATCAGGTGGACTGTGTGCTCGTTTGTCACCCTATCCTATAAAAAAAAAAAATAGGCTTGTACCAATATTAAGGTTCTGTCTATTACATTAAGTCAAAGTAGCGTTTGAGTGTTTGACCATAATTCTTAAAAAATTTAATATTTCAAAATTTACTAGTTGGTTGAACTCCTTTTTTTTTTCATAGGAATCTGTATGGCTAGGTATTACTATATCTGCCACAAAAAATAGCGCTTGCATCGTTGTGTTCCAGTCTAACCAGTATAAATACCTACTGGAATCATCCCATCTTTGTTGTTAAGAGTTGAGAACTCATCTGTAACATTCTTTGTTTGGCTGCAAACTGCAGTAACCACTTACCATGAAGGTACACTGAAGTTTGTTTGTAACTTCGAGTTTATATAAAAAAAAAAGAATTATTTGTATATGTTCTGAAAGAAGCAGTAGACCGAGACATACCTAACATCTCAACCAATTGCTTTTTAAAGTACACAAAAACGTATTGAGCTTTCTGGCACAACCGTGGAGGATTTCCCTAATTTTTTGTCCAGTTTGAGTCCATATTCGTAAAAAAGTAGTACATTGATGAATTTTGTATTTATTAAGTGTACTCCTAAATTTTCGGTATTCCAAGATAAAGGTTTCTTTAAATATTAAGGGTGACAAACGAGCACACAATACAACTAATTGTACAAGTGACAACTACATCTACTCTCGATTAGGAATCCAAATGCGGGTGAGTTGTCATCCCTGAAGACTACCAACGTGGAATGCCACGTTTCCAGCAAAAAGTGTCCCTGGTTCTCTACACTCACCATACACCACACACAACAAAATGACGCTGTTCATAAAACAAAACGCCGTAGTGAAAAGTTGCTTTGGTTGATTCTGCTACATATACAGGAAATGTTTTTCACCCTTCAATTTTGAGTGAACAAAACATAACAAAAATACCATTTTACTATGGATTCAGAATGTGATGATGTTGAAAGTAAAGTTAAAAAGTTACAGCCTATATACGTCCCACAGCTGGGCACAGGCCTCCCCTCATTTCTGAGAGGTTTTTAGGGCAAGGAAGTGTCCGCTGCGCTGCCCCAATGCGTGTTGGCGAACTTCACATGTCTTCGAAATATTTTTTTTCTTATTCCTCGGACATGCTGGTTTCATCACGATGTTTTCCTTCACCACCGAGCACGTGGTAAAGCAGCACAAATAAAATTGCAATTAACAATTTCATTGGTGCCTGTTTCATTAGTGGTTCTGTTATATTTACAGCGAGCGTTAACCATCTGAGCTACCAGGGCTCTAATATAATATATAATGATAATATAATGATGTTGAATGCCTTATTATAAATATAAGTGGCAATGACTCCGATACTTAGAATGCTGAAGAATAGTGTCTATTTTCTTTCATCTATGTTTATTATGTTTATGTTTATTATTTTCTTTCGTTAAAACTAGTACTTACCTACTCATATTTTTTATTTAAATTGTCTTTGTTACCTAACTTGCGTTTGCTATTTAAATTTATATTCGTATTTTATTACAATAACCATAAAAATAAAATAATATTTAAATAGTAAATAAATTAATATTTTAATAGTATTTTATTTTACTCATAAGAATAAAATAGTATTCTATTTAATTCTTAAAATAGAAAAAAATTATTTAACAATACATTAAAAAATAATGAAATGATCGCACATCCGGGTGTACTGACACTATCTTAGCGAACAGACCATAAATATATAACTCTGTGCTGAAATAATATTATTAGCCTAATTGTATATTGACAGGATTGATACCCATTGTCACTTATAAAATGGCTATTTGCAATTTTATGTATGTAACAAGTTTATAGGACACAGGACTTGTATTTTTGTGATGATTGGAAAGCAGAGAAGAGTGAGGTGTACACCTGTTACATGTTATATGTTGCAGACTACATATTATAGTATATACGTTTGCATAAAAATGTATCTTAGTAAGATTATTTAAACATTGTTTGCATTTGAAGAAAATTGAACAGTATATAATACAGTTTTCCAACGAAAATCTAATATTACTGAGAGGTACCCTTTTATGACTGTAAGCTCTCACTTGTTTCTTTCTGTCTTCGGGCAGCGGCGTCTGGGGCCTGGGCTACAGTATTCAGGTCTGAAGGGTATAGGAGTCCATATAATTGTATGCTGTGAGACATTTCATCTTGTTGTCAGGGGTGATAACGCAATTGTAGCCTTTTCAGTCGCTCATGTCCTTTGGCTACAAAAGTTGCTGTCGGGCATATATGTGAGATTGTTCGCCATTTTAATTAAATCCAAAAAATAGTACAAAACAGACTTACGAGTTTGTCGTAGCTGTTGAAGTATCTCTTGCAGAGCTTGGCGAGGAGCTCGTGCGGCTTGAGGAAGAGGCGTGAGCACAGAAGGAGGGTAAAGGTGAAGGAGGGAGCGGCACCAGGCCGCAGCATCTCCACCAACGCGTCCAGGCTGCCGCTCACCAGCTGTCCATCGCGGAACTCCACCTCTGCCTTGTCCGCACCACCACCACCCAGCTACACAGTGCGCACATTTAATACTTTGCCATTCTCAACGAACCTATAATATATTTATAAGTTTCATTCTGTCTTCCATCCTAATACATCACAGCATTATAACTTTGGATGTTTGTCCTTTCGATATTTATGTATGTAAACTGCCTTCACAATACAGTAGAACAACCTAGTGTGGTGGTAACGTTTTTACAATAAAATAATAATTAGAAAACTATATATTTTTATGCATTTCATCTGAATGTAAATAGAGGAACATTTTTTTATACTTCTCATATCCGATGGGAAATAACTGCAGCAGTTATACAAATATGAAGTTTCTAAAGAGCTTGTTTTGTAGTATAACTTTTAACTTTAAATTAATGAAATTAAGTCTGTAAATAAATCTAAAACAATAAAATAGATGCCACTGAACACCTTACAAAACAAAAAATTTACTATTTTTGCTAAGTTTGAGAACAATCTTTAAAGTTACCCTCCCGGGGTAATATTCTGTTTGACTCTACTACTATGTTAAGGGGGGAGGGGGAAATAGGCCTCCGGCCACCTCCACTCACCAGACGAACACCCTGGTTCGACCCGACCCATACATGCAACAGCAAAAGGTGGCGCGTGGCTCTACCACTGTGATTTCTCAATTCTTTTCTCTTCTCAATTCTCTTTTCACAAGAAGGAAATGTTTAGAAATTCTATTAAGAGATTAGAATTACATTTGTTACTTAATAACGATTTGAAGATTCTCAGGTAAAAGTCCTAACGAAAAATTATATGACCTTTGTTCACTCAAAGATCTTTTATCAATGACATTTTTCAACTTACTTTAATAATTGATGATTTTGTAGAGCCAAAGCCGAGCATATGGGTGCAGCGACATAAGTTTATTACAAGAATATAATCAAAATTAAAATGAGACGGTGACTGAATTTGCATCGGAATTAAATAAACTGATGACTAATTGCGATTTTCTATGTCATAATTGTAAAAAGTCAATTTCATACAATTCTTAACAAAACTTCGTGATGATGACATTCGTACGAAACTTTTGCAACAACAATTAGCTTTATTCTCAGATCTCATTAAAATTGCGACTTCGATGCGCATCATGGTTTGATCCTGTACATAGAATATCGTTTAAGTCTTTAAATATTCACATACAAATTTAAAATATCGATTTTTAATAGACCTAAATCAATCATACATCAAACTTATACTCCCTATCATCCTGCAACAAATCGCAGGCTTAAAGATTTGTGAAAACTATTAAAAGATCGTATATAGAAGTTCTTCTCTCTAGATGCACGCACTACATTTCACTTACTGATAAGATGCTGCCACTCGAGAACCTTTCTTCCCCATCGGTTGTCTGTCCTTCGAGCTATATGGCCGGCACATTGCCATTTCAGCTTACTGATCTGTTGGACTATGTAGTTACTCAGGTTCCATTGAGGATATCTTCATTTATAAGTCTATTATTCAGAGAAACTCTGTGCATAGCCCTCTCTACAGCTTGTTGAACGACCATAAGCATTCTCATATGGCAAGCAGTGAAGGTTCATGTCTTAGATCCGTACTGGTTGTACAATCTTGTTTGCAAGTTTTGAGGTATATCTGACAAGAAGATTATTCCCAACAAGAAAATGTGTGGTAATTTCCCCAACGCTGCCCAGTCATATTGAATTCAAGTTATATTGAATTAAATAAGTCCAATTAAAACTTATATAATAAAATTAATTGTGATATATAAATACACACAGAACTAATTATTACCGAATTTATATCGAAAAACTCACTTGTGGTGATTCTACTTTTTGTGATGAAACAAAACTGAGTCCACCATTCATCACAATGTGCTTGCAACTCGTATCTGACATGAACTTGTTACCCCGCACCATAGAATAGTAATCGTCGTTCTAAAACAAAATAAATTCATAAACTTAACCATCCATAAATACAGTTTAAACATATCAATAAATAATAGTATGTACACAACAAAATGGTGTTTCATTTTAGTAGTAACTTTATCATAATTATGCTTATAGAACAATGGCGACAAAGGAGTACACAGCCCACCTGATGGTAAGTGGATTCTACAGTCCACCCATAGTCATTAAAGATAATAATTAATAACACATTCATTTATCAATTAAGAATCAAACTGCAGATGTGTTGTCACCTCTGTGGTTAGTCCATGGAATGCCCCGTTTCCAGTAAAAAGGTGTTACAACCCTAATATAGTTGCAGCATGGCCCTACCATATATATATATATATATATATATATAACTCAATAAGTTTTGAGATACTCGAAATTAAAAATATAGGCACTGTTGTAGAATCCAGATATCACCTGTGCAAAGCCAGGGATGAACGCTAGTATATAATAAGTATGAGATTACATCATAGTAATCATTATATTAAGACCCTTCATCTGTGAATGCCGGCAGCAGTGAACTTGTAACGAGCTGTAATGATGAGATGGTATACAATAAGTATGTAATTACATCGTAGTAGGACAATCCGGAGCCGTGTAAGAGCGCGGGGTCTGCGGGCAGCGGCGCGAGGTCAGAGGCGGGCGGCGGGGGATCGCTAGCCGGCACCTTCACTGAGCAGCCGCTACATGACGCCTCGTTCAACTTGCTTGCGTAGTAGTACATAGCCATTCAATTCCTCGTACCCCCCACTCACACTACCCGCTCCCACCGAAGCCTATATTGCAAGCTTTATCTTAAGGAACCCATTTGTGTTTCTGTAAAGAGGTTTAATGTTTTACGAACAATTAATGTTATGGAAATAAAGTAATCTCACTAACTTTAAAGCGCTTTATTTTAAGTTTCTTTTGTATTCTGACCTTTCTGCAGATGTTCAGTATTGTTGCAAACATTATATTATTTTTATTAAATCATAAATCCTAGCAAACGAACACCAATTTCTACCAAGGATGATTTGCAAGGCTATTTAAATTTAAAAACATTGTAATTTCAATAGAGAAGATGGCTAGGTGCTACCATTTGCTGGGAATTTCTTAATTAGTAAAATTAAATCCAAAACTAAGCATACTACTGCATTACTTATCTTCGATCATTTTGAATAGATCGGAAAAAATATTATATTTCAAAATAGTTAATAGAATCAGGAATCACTTTGTAGAAATCCATTATATTAAAGTCAGTAAGAATTACTTCGCCCATATCCGCTCAATGAAATAAAATGATATGTCTTACCTAGTTTGAAGAGCGCCTCCCGCCCTCCCTCAATTGCGTGCACTATCCCCATCACCACTACACTAGGAAAGACACACCATTGGTGATAATACGACCTGTTTTTGCTCTACAGGAGCAGCAGCTGTTTTAACTCGTCGCTGACTTACCAGTCAGTCACCACAGAGTCTACTTCACCTGAGGATGCCTCGTGTAGAGGCGGAATACATGTTGTGTAATCGCCGCTGGTGTGTTTTTTTAGTGTAGTGGTGTTGAGAGTAGTTGTGCTGGGATTAGTGGTGACGGGCATAGCGCACGCAATTGAGGGAAGGCGGGAGGTGCTCTTCAAACTAGGTAAGGCACATCATTTTATTTCATCGAGCGGATATGAGTAAAGTAATTTTTACCAGGTAGTAGGTAGTTATTCTTTGTCATCATATAAGGATGTCAGACATCTCAGTCCCCCCTTGACCATTGGTGTTGTAAAGTGTCGGAAAATAAAAAAGTTTACATTAAATGCCATAAAATCCGTAAAAGAGTCAGAAGAGGCATTCTAGAGGGAAGTTTACTAACCAAATTGTCGATACATTGAAGATGGGGTAAGTTACATAGATAGGATGTGGAAGAAGTGCAAGATGTTATATAACTAATGGTAATACCAGATTAGTACTGATATAGAGGGAGCTTTATCAAATTTCTATAATTTTAATAATGAAATATCAAAGGAGAATTGGATTATTAACAGCTTGTTAAAACATTGAAGTTTGCAAATTGTATTAATTTTCTAGAGTAACTTATAAAAATTTAAAAGAATTTTCAATCTAAAGAAAGATAACCATTTCACTGTCCGAATAGTCATTTATGAACATTTCAAATGTTTTTTTTTTGCAGACAGGAACAGAAACTTTCATTAACTCTTTTATCTCTAGCAATATCTTGCAAAGTAACTTACATCAAATTGCTTAACAGACACAAGACTCGTTGATTATTTAAAGTGTTAATGAGTGAAATGTTTTTCACATTAGCAAACCATTCAAGAGAACTTTACATTATTAATTCTTTGTAACTTGAGACTGTTAAAACACAAAAAGGTCTTGGGATGGTAACATCTAATAAGGAAGGCATTTTTCCACAATGATAATATTGCCTTGAGTTTATATAAAACATATGTTCTACCTACATTGGAGTTTGGATTCTTAACTTGGAATGCTTAATTTTAACAATGCATCAATCTATTGGAGGAAGTTCAATGAAAAGCTGAAAATGGTTACAACAAAGAAAAACCAAATATAGAGAATTCTTATGGGAGCTTGGATTTTAGAGAAACAAAGATTGGAAGTTCAATGAAAAGTTGAAAATGGTTATAACAAAGAAAAGCAAATACAGAGAATTCTTATGGGAGCTTGGATATTAGAGAAACAAAGATTACAGAGTGATCTGTTAAATACTTATAAAAATATTCTCACTATAATGTGAGCACTCGAAGAATATATATACCACAAAAAACCAAGCTTAGAGGGCACTCATTAGTATTAGTGTGAACACTTGGTAAAAGCAATCCATGTTATCACTTTTTAGCAAACCAAGTAGTGAATTCTTATATTTCACTTCCTTTCAGTTGCAAATTGTTTCATCATTAAAAGCACATTATTGTTATATTTTAAAATCTTGGCTCAAAAATGTATGACAATGTGTTAGTAACCTCTGCTGTTATTTTTTATATCCTATCAAAAAGATTTAGATTTTTAGTTTCGATTGAAATATTAAATTTTCTTTACTTTAAATTAAATACTGCATTGGAAAATTAGCATTAGCAACTTAAAATTGTTTACAGGAATATTAAAAAAAACTATTATAAAGAAAATCTAAAACTGAAAATTTTAACTAACATAAAGTCCTACTCCCCAAGGTATTGGGCCAAGAAAGCTAGCTGCTTGCTGAATAGCTATACTTAGCTTTTGAGCGAGAAAAGAACCAGCCCTTTTATCACCAGCAGAAACGACCAATAGCAGTTACAGTTCTTTTAGGAACTTCACTGCACATGGACCCCAAGGAACGATAGTCTCTATAGCAAATGGCATAATATGTAGTAATTTCTCAAAGATTTATATTGTGCCATTTACTTAATTCAGCTGCCTCTGATACTACTCCAGCTCTAAAAGAGGTAACCTTGAGATGAGAGGCCGCCAAAGTATCTACGCTTCATGTTAATAAAAATTATCACTATTCATTTCAATTTAAACATGGACCATACAAAATATAAAATGTTTTTAGTGTTTATATTTCAAATTTAATACAAGATATGTATTAGTTTAAATAAAACCAATTGAATAAAATAATTGTGCACATAATGTTAGTAAATAAAACATATGTTTGAAATAGATTTGTAAAAACTAAATACTTTTAAGAAAGCAAGAACTGAATAACATATATACTTGAACATTATTTAAAAGATAAACAATTATTAAATCCCCAAGAAATTCCAATTTATTGGTTAGAATCCCAATAAATATGAGAAAAAATTATTTTTATATTCACACGGAATATTAGCAGATCACTTCATGCTCGATTAAAACAGATGCGGTGAAAGTTGTAATCAATTTCAACGTTTTGTTAAAAAAAATGCACCATTGTATATTTTATAAAACATAAAAAATTTAGTGAAGTTAATTACAATCACAACGCACTCTTATAATTCACACTGAGGTATTTACCTAATTTATTTAACAGAAATTAGCGCCAATTTAATATGAATTTATTACATCTACATTCACAAACATAGATTACTGACTATATACTAGAGATTCTTCTCTGTCTACGAGATTCACAAACTAACTAGATAGTAGATAATCTATATTACATCAAACATAATTCGACCATAGACTAATATTACTTATTGTGTAATTGTGATTCACAGAATCACGGAGGTTAGTTCTCTAACCTCCAGGCACAGAATTGTGAACTGTGTGTATTTATTTAATCCCGTAGACAGAGAATGTCTGCGTTTAATCCTATTTCTTTCTATATACTATGCTCGTAGGTTTATGATTTAAGTTCGGTAGACTTACTATGGTGTGCATGTGTAAGTTCCGGCTTGTTTGTATTAGCGAGCTGACTTACTATTGGTGCGTCAGTAATTGATTTAAGAGACAGTGTCCGCCTTTTTTCTAGGTGCATGGGGCTGATCTGACACTGCAAAGTTTTTGGGAGATTTTGGTGACAACTTAACGCAGTTGATGACGATAACACCTCAAGGTTTAAGTGTGTAAAACCCTGGGATATACATCAAAATCAAATAGTGTTCACATGCCGAGATAATACACAGAATATAATACACAAAATTGCATAAATTTGATTTATTAAATTCCAATTCACTCAAATAAGAGATTCTTACGGATGATGATGTGTTACTGGCTTCTGCTTCGAGACCTTCATCCTCAAATTCAATGCAGGGTGATTTCACTCCGTTGATTGTTGCAATATCTTTTCAAACTTTCTGCTCAAACCCCAGAATAGATGAATCAACACTATCATCTCAATCAACCAGTAATGAAATGAGATCATTTATTGGAGCCCAAATCCAAATGAATATACATGTATTACCTACTGAATATTGAAGATTATTGGTCCATTGATAGAACCTTGAAAAGATTCCAGATTATTATGAAGTATTTACATCTTAACAATAATTCAAAAATGTCAGCTAGAGAGAGCAGTAATTTTGATAAACTATACAAACTAAGACCAGTGTTGGATCGTTTGAATTATTTGATCTCTGAAAATTGAACAGTAAACCAATTCCCAATTTATAGAACGTATGATAAAATTTAAGGGTCGTTTAAGTTTACAGCAATATGTGCCGATGAAACCAGTAAAGCCCGGTTATAAAGTATGGGTCCGGGCGGACAGTGCAACTGGCTATGTATATATGTTCAAAATTTACACAGGAAAATCTGATATTCGAGAAACAGGCTTGGAAATTAATGTAGTAAAACTTTGTCTGAACCATTGCTGAATATTAATTATCAGGGCCAGGTTAGAGTTACTACATTTTTGCAACAGCTATAGTGAGAAACGATAGACTAGATTTTCTTCCTTTGGTGAAAAAGCCGAAGATGACTGCGAACAGAGAAACAAATAACATGATGACAAAAGTTGCTAAAAGAGAAAGTAGCAAAGTCAAAAAATTTACCAGAGGTAAATGGAAGTGGAGGATAAATCAAAACGTAGGTTTTCCTGTACGGAATGACATCAAACAAGTTAGCATTATGAGTACGGCATTTCATCAAAGAGCCAAAACAACATGCACAAGAACACAAAAGGATGGTTCTAAAACGCGATCAGACGTCCTAAGATCATATCGAATACACTAAACGCATGGGTGGCGTAGACAAGTTTGACTAAAAGAGGATTCATTATGCTATCAGAAAAAAGGGCAAGAAATTATGGAATTTTTT